GAATCTGGACAGATTCACAGGACGCGGACAGATTCACAGGACGCCTCTCCACGAATCTGCCCAAAAACGGAGACAGATACAGGCGCCCATGACTTGAATCGACGCGTCTCCATGAATATTCTGCACAATGGAAAAAAAAAGAGCTTGAATCTGGACTGATTCCAAGGACACCTCTCCATGAATCTGCCCAATAACGGAGACAGGTACAGACACCCATGACAACAATGAATTCGAGCTGCTCCGATCCTATGAAGAGTTGCCAAATTCCCATAGTTAACGCATATTCGATCCTTCAAAAGCAAAGTACGAGCGACCTCAAAATTTTCTCCAAACATAATAAAATAATAACATAAAAAAAATAAAATTTTCTCCAGAAAGAAGGGTGACGGTCGTTGAACTGGCTGTCTCCAAAAAAGGAGACAGCTAGCTCAACGGAAAGTCGCGAGGGTAGGGGGCGTAGCATTCGAGAAAACGACATTTTTGCTACTTGTTACGATCCTGGCCAATTTCGAAGTATACTTACATCAGAAAGTACAATACCGTCCAATTGCAAAAAGAAATGAATGAACTTGAGAGGAGAGAGAGGGAAAGAAGAAGAAGAAGAAGTAAGAAAGAAGAAGAAGATGATGTACTCCAGCATAGACCAATGACAAGGCTTCTTCTTCGCCAACCAATCCCCTCCTCCTTATCTCCTCCCCTCTTATTCAAACAAGAACACTAATAGTGTTGAATGGCGGAACCAGAATCAATGTCCGAATCCCACTTCTACTGCAGGCACAACATGAGGTCCACCATAGCCATGGCCACCCTTCCTCTTTAAAAGGGCTTTTACCCGAATCAGACCCCATAAAAGTAAAGCAGCATGAAGGGGTATCTCGCCAGAATCCAGAAACGTGAAAAGCAGATCAACAGTCAAAGTTTTCTGACTAAGGACATCTGAATTTAAGCTAAGAAACACATCTGTTAAAGATCAAAAGTCACATCTCAAAAAGAAAGAAAAGTCTTATGGAAAGGCATGCTGGAAACTGTCTGAAGGGGTGTGTCAAAGGGCTGTGGAGATAGTGCCTGTTCGTGCAATATAAAGTGTCTATTCGAATAGGTTGTGTGTCTGTTCGTCAATTTGTTGTGTCTGTTCGAAGGTCAAGATAACTGTAAAGTCCCAATACTGAATTAAGTTCTGTAGGCAGTCCACTGTCCGAAATACAGGCCGAATGCCAAAAAGCAGCAGTACCTTTCTGGGATATCACTGGGACACATGCAATGCAGGGCCTGGGACAGGGCCGAAGTGCCAATTCAGATGCTGAACGTGGAATCCAGCACTATAAACGAGGCTGCTCGCCTCATTTGTGGCAGATTCCTCACTGGCATGGAATTGCTGGCCACTTGTGTACTATTTGGTGAGAGGAGGAGGATGCGCTGGAGCTGGAAGTGGTGCTGAAGGCAGAGGCTGGGCGCTGATGCAGGATGATGCAGCCTTAGCTGCCTGGCCAGGATGCTAGTAGTAGGAGCAGCCATAGCTGCCTAGCACAGACTAGAAGAGGAAGACCCGTGAGATGCATTCAGAGTAGGTCCTTGAGAGAGAAGAGAGAGTGTTCATGTATACGAGGGAGAAAGGAACTACATCAGAAGGTGTTCAAGAGCTTTGGGCTATGGAAGATACTTACCTGGACTGAGACGTGATCTCCAGAGGCAGCGCTGTAGTGTACATGCTGTCTTGATGCGTTAGGAACTGAATATGTGAGGAGCTGGGAGTGCGTCTGAGTTCAGGGAACATTGGCATTTTTTGTAAACATAATTTTGATAATATAAGCTGCGTCATGCAGCATTCTTCTCTCCTACCCTTGTCTAAGAGTGATGGCTACAGTTCTTTGAGAGTGACGAAGTTGCATGATCTATACATTTTGGCGTGAGATGGTCCACCGGACCCATGCATCTTCCTCTACATGCAGGCCGAGGCTATGGCGGAGCACTGAGGGCTCTACCCTCCTGTCCAAAGGACAACCCAAAACAGCTATGTCGCTGCCCTTCTGTCCCAAGGTCGACACTGGACAGCTATGCCGCTGCCCACTCAACCGCCATGCCTGACTCTGTCCCGAGCTTCCTTGGTGCGGCACTACCCCAACTGGGGCCTTCCAGATGCAGCGCCTAACAAGGTGATGAAGATGGTGCCCACCATAGCCAGGTAAGTACCTCTCCACTCTCCTCCTTGGTCCCCTTCTCCCTCCTCCTCCTACCGGTAGAGCTCCACCATAGCCAAGGTGGAAGCTCCCGGCTTCTTCCTCCCAGCAGCGCTGTAGTACCCAGCGCTACTCCAGCCAGCGCTCCAGCAGCGTGTCGCCAAACTTGCACACTGAAGAATGAGGCCGAGCTTTTGCCTTGGCCTCTTGATATAGCGGCCTTCTTGCTTCTTGGGAGGTGACTTCCAGGCCGCTCGGCCTCCCAAGCAACCGGTACCTCCTCCCTTTCGGAGGGAAACGTCATTGCACACTCCCATATTGCCCGTACAGGCTCTAGACTTAGGCTGGATGGACTGGTAGCGGCCTAAACCTAGCCTACCGCTACTGGGCCTCTAAAAATGCCAACTTTGTCTTCTTCTGCTCGGCCTCGAGTACCCCTCACATCTACTGCTACTGGGTGCGGTACCGGCCTACCTGCTACTTGAGTGTTTTTCCGCTACTCCAAGGGCCGCGGGCCTCTGGCTCCGCCACTTGAGTGTTTTCCCCTGCTGCAACCCTCAATGCCACGGCCAAAGGTAAGCACCGGCCGTACGGGCCTGCCAAACAAGCAAGTACCCTTGTGGGTCACACACACACTCATGCCGACAAGCACTCAGACAGGCACGCAAGTCAACAGGCACGCACACATACAGACTTAGAGAACACAGCAGAATGCGGGAATCTCAGCAAGGCATCCATTCCATCGGCAGAACTTCGGAAATCAGCAGTGTGCTCAGTCTGTGTTATGGCGGGTCATTACATACTATTTTGTTGGAAGAAAAAAATGCGATAATTGCTATTCGTAATTAAAAAAAGGACGGACCGCTGGATGATTGCGAGGACGTGCATCTCCGCCGTTGCCTACAGTCGCACTGCGTAGAAAACTAAACGTCGACCTACCTCAATGGACAAAGTGGGCCATGGTCCCGGGGAATCCCAGCAAAAACAGCCAAGATTCTTCTTTCAGAAAAAAAGTAAAGGAAGGACAAACAAATACTCGCAAATGCACAGTTCCCCATTAAGGTCACGTACATTCTTGAAGTTGGCAGCGGTAAACTGCCCTGAAATGTTATTATCAATTCATTATTATTATTATTTTTTGGATGTCGTACCGTTCAGGGTCACGAGGAGGATCGCAGCTTCGGAACCCGTGAACTTCTGCTTCCAGTTTCGAATCAATACTCCTTGGGAATGGATCGTCAACCTCCTTGAGTCCCGACATTAAATCGACTGTGCCTTCGAGTTTCCACTGTGGGATAAGAAGTTCCACAGGCATGAATTTTTACCGATTTTCGGTTGGGGGGAGGAGGGGGGGGGGGCGCCTGGGGGCTGAGCTGTCTTGCAGTGAGGAAGATACTTAGACAGTAGAGTTAATACCATTCTGATGCTTTGATGTGTCTCTTGCAGGACCTGCCTCCTTCGTACTTGGGTTTTTCGTCTCCGTGGTTCCTTGCGGCGCCAGCTCGATCCTGACGGGCAGGAGAACCTGCCTGCTTTGTACTTATGTTGTTCATCTCTCTCCCTGTTTCCTGCCCTAATCACCTGGATCTGCTGACGGACAAGAGTACGTTATCATCGTGCTCAGACTTGTAATGATCGCATCTTCTTTTTCCTGGGTGTCTACCATGTGCAGTTCGATCTTGTTTCTGTGGCATAGATCATCATCATCATCATCATTAGCGCATTAGTTGTCACTGTGCTCCCCATCTCCGTCGTTCCTTCCGTAATCGGCTCTGTCCTGACAGATAAGAGTACATTACCGTCGCATTCACTCTTGTAGTGATCCCTTCTCCTTCTCTCTGGGTGTTCACGATGTGCAGTTCAATTTCTTTTCTGTCGCACTGATCATCATCATCATCATCATCATCATCATCATCATCATTATCGTTAGCTTATTTCTTGTCGGTGTGCTCCCTTCCCGCTTTGCGCATTGCGGTGTTCCTCTTGTCCACTGAAGATCTGGCGGCAACCGGAGAGCACCGATCTGCTTGGGTCATGTGAGGTAGGGGAGGGGGGACTTGAGAGAGAGTCTTTTTGGCTGCCGTGAGCAGTTGTTGCTGTGACGCTTTGTGTTGCGTTCCTTACTTCGGTTTTTGCCGTGATGTCGTCAGTGGATCTCTCCTTCTCCCGAGAAGATCGGGTCTATCACCCTTCCGAGTCTGTAGAAGGCACCATCGTTGTGAATGCTGCTGCACCTATTATTCACTCGGGCATATCTCTATCCGTTTCTGGCGGTGTGATGGTCCAATTGTTTGGCAAGGGAGTGGGTGTGTTGGAGGTTTTGTCCGGCGGAGGATCAAAGTCTGTGCCCTTATTTGAGAGGAAGGTAGAGCTGAGCCATCCAGGGAAACTTACGGAAGGAAAGTCGGAGATTCAGTTCAAGATTCACCTCGGTCCCTTGACTGGACCTGGCCGACCTGCCAACGCGAGCTCTGCGCCCTCCTCCTCTGCTGGCGGAGGGTTCACGGCTCCTACCTTGCTCCCTACGTACCACGGCGTCTATGTGAACATTCAATACCTTATCACTGTGGAGATTCGCAGAAGCTTCCTGCAAAGGACCCTTTCGTGCGTCTCCGAGTTTATCGTCGAAGGCAAGCGAGAACTGGTGCTGGTACCGCGCCCGCTGTCGGCAGCAGAGCCCATAAAGTTCATCATCACTCCTGACACTCACAACCACCCACTGGGTCCGGCCTTGCGAGCAGCGGGGGGGTTTCGCATCTCCGGTTCCTTGGCTAGCATCTGCTCTGTGGATGAGCCGTTGATCGGAGATCTGACAGTGGAGAAGTCCTCGCTACCCATCAAGTCTATCGAGGTGCAGTTGATGCGGGTGGAGTCGGTGCCGCTCCACGACAAAACTCTGAGGGAAGTTTCTGCGGTTCAGACCACTGAGGTGGCAGTCGGTGATGTCTGTCGCCGTATGATGCTCCCCATCTACGTGATTCTACCACGGTTAACGGTCTGTCCGATGATAGTGACTCAGGCCTTCGCTATCGAGTTTGAAGTCAATGTCGTCGTCACGTTCGATTTGACAAAGCTCAAACCGACCATGATGTTGCACAGCAAAGGTAAGCACCCACAGAACAGTGCCGCCGCCATCAAGGAAACCCTCCCACTCAGAGTAGTTGCAGCCTGATTAATAATATCTCCTCCTTGCTTGCAGACTCCACGATGTGTCCGCAATAGCCAAGGTGCACGCACATCTGCAGCAGCAGAGGTTTGTCCACAGTGTGCTCTTGTTGCATGGCTCATTTTCCTCAGAACATTCTCTTTTTTGGAAAGTCAAATTCTTCACTGCAATCGTTTTGTGTGGGAGCCTCTCTGGAAAAGTTTGATACGACCTGTGTTTCGTCCAGCAGACACGCCTTTCTGAAACTGTTTTTGTTTCTTTTTTTTAATTTTTTTAATTTTTTTGTTTGTTTGTTTGTTTGTTCCTGCGTGCCAATGGACCACAGATCAGATATTAAACTGATGAGACCAGAATCAATCGCTGATACTGGACTTTATCTATTTTTAGTAATTTTTTACTAATTTTTAGTATTTTACCTCCGTGTCTCATTGTCGTGAGAACATTCATGCTTTTTTTTTTTTTTCTCCCTCCTCAGAAGACTCTCATTTTCTTCACTGCCTCATGTGTTCTTCAATGCCGCATTTTAGCTACTGTTGCATTTTCATGATTTTTCTCACTGCCTCAATTTTTTGCGCACAACATTCTCTGTAGGTGGATTTATTGAGCATGTGCTTGTGCTTGGGAGTAAAAGGCAAAGGGGGATTGGTGGGTGACTTCCAAAACTCACACTAGGACTTTTCCTTGATGCATCTGACTGTTCTTGTACGTGGGGTTCAGTTCAGGAGGTCCTGTAGTGTGAACAGGTCCTGAGAGGGATGACATTGTCGTCGTGTGTTAAAGATTCTCTCTCTGCCTTCTTGTGAACCAATTGTCTTGTCGGTTGCTTGCGCCTAGTGAGCAACCTTGAATCCACTTTTTGTTCTCTTGTTTTCCTCCTCTTCGTTTTATATGTTTGTCCCTTTGGATGTCAATCGATAGATGACATGTGTTGGGCCATGAAAGATGGAAATACGGTGAGTAGCAGCGCGCTACATGAAAACAAAAGTGAAACGATATTCACCAGTTCGCAGTGGCCGATGCAGATCCCAGGGCTCGATCCCTAGTCCCCACCTTACCTGTGTACAGTATCTGTGTCGACCCCTAGAGTTGAACCTGTGACCTGTGTATTTGTAACAGTTGGTAGGATGTCGTAGGGTCGATAGGTAGCAGGGGTTCGATCTGTAGACCTGTCGAGTAGGAATCTCAGTCAGGTCTAGAAGGCGTAGCCGTAACTTTCTCGAAAGGTCAAGGTCGTAGCTGCTACAGTATCGAAAGGCCAAGTCTGCGGCCTTCCGGAAGGTCCGAGTAGTGGCCTTTCGAAGTTGCCCATGTTTAGGCTGAGGCAAGTGGGCAAGTGGTGAGGCAAGTGGGGAAGTGGTGGAGTCTACCCGTGCTGAGTCAGCAGTCCCAGTCCCAGTCAGTCCTGGTCCAGTCAAGCAAGTACCGCATGGGACTGTGTGCACTACGGGCATGGGAAAGGGCCAGACCAACGAGCTGCAGAAGTATAAATCAAGAGGCAGCGCCCGGTCATTCATTCATTCCTGCGTGAGCCATGCGGAAGCGCTGCCATAAGCGACTTGTGCGAGGTGGTCTGCAGTGAGCCCAAAGACGAAGTGGGCGAGAGAGAAGGAGTGTAGCCATAGCGATAGGGTAGTAGCGGCCATAGCCGCCATAGTTGTAGATAGAGTTCAGTGTGTGTGTGTCTGTGTGTGTGTGTGTGTGTGTGTGTGTGTTTAGAGTATCGCGTGTGGGATATCCAGGATGATCCGGTGTATGCGAACAGAGAGTTGTGTGGGTGCTGAGTCGCCATAGCCATCGAAGTGAACTTGTATCTGAACTGTGTTCTCGGTTACCATATCTCTGAGTTCTGAGTGGGCGCTTGTCGCCAGTTTGCTGCGCACCTGTTTGCA